CGATAATTAAATGGAATTGATTTGTTTTCTCTCAAGTTGACAAAGAACTGAACAAAGCAAAGATTATTGTCACAGCCTCAAATTTAAATGATATATTCAGCATGGGCTCTAAAGTGAAAAAATTCTCTTTCATATTATGTATATTTTCAATTTGTTTACGGCTTGCAATTTTCCGATGGTTTAATGGAAGTTATAATCTAAAACTCAGACTGTTTATTTTTATTATTAACATAAAATATGTCTAGACATTGGTTAGCTTATATTATTCTCAGATTTGATACATTTTCCTAATCTAGAATCAAGCTGTCCGCCCATGCTGCCCTCTAGGGCTTTTCGTAATTTCATGAACGTCCATTAAGAAATTTTACCCAGGATTATAGTCATATCCCAAGTCAATATTTAAAAAAACAACTAATAATAATTTTAAGAATTTCCTTTACTGCACTCGCTCTCTATATATCACTTGTATTCTCTCTCGCTCGCCCTCTCTCTATCTACGTATATCTCTTTCACTCACACACTCTGCCCATATTATATCAGAATCACAAATATTCCCTTTATGACCTATTTACATTATTTAACTACAACTCTGTGTTAACTATCCCTCTCTCTCTCTCTCCCTTTCTATGTTCCTCACTTTTCTTTAGGATTCCTCGTCTACCCTCTCTCACCTTCAGCTTGTGTATTTCACGATGCAATTTGACCAATTCGCAGTCCCGTTCTCGCAGCTGTTCCTTGAGCATGTGCAGCTCGTTATTCAATCTATTAATGATCGAATCTGGCTCCATTATCTCGGCCATATCAGCTGCTCTCCGTCCAATCGCTCAATATCGAATGCCAATTAACTGCTAATTGTCCCATTCAGGCAGCCATGCACGAGTTTGGTTAGCTACCCGCTTTGATTCGCTTTCGCACGCGTTCCGTCGACGACTGCCGGCTGTTGACTTCCCAATTTATAAGCCGATCGACGCGGCGTATGTGTGATTTCCAAAGAGAGTGAGTGATAGAGAGAGAGAGAGAGAGAGAGAGAGTGAGCACACAAAAGAGCACGCTTGCAAATGTGTGAAACGAAGAGATCAGAGACAACGCTATCAGCGCGAGATAGTTACAAGCAGATAACCAAAGGGGTTGGGCGCATTTAATTTGCATGTTCATAAAATGATAACGATGACAACTCGACGACTGCTCGAATAGCAAATGCCCTGTAAGGGGAACGAAAGCTAATTGAGAAATTGACTATTCAATATGTTCGATAGTTTGTATCGATATTGCTGATTATTTTATAGATTATTATATCGATTCATATTAATTAAGCTATGTAAATTAACTTTAAAGTGGCTTACAAAAGTTTTAAGTTCTTTTCTACTAAAAAATCAAAAAGGAAAATTAATTTGATCAAACTTGAACTTCAACCCGACTTGAATTAAAAATCCATTTCAGATGTTTGCACAAGTTTAAGTTCTCGCACTTTTGCACAAACTTTTAAAGCGAACAGGGTATTACAACAACAGCAACAACAACAACAGGGGCATCATAAGCAAATGCAGAAGCCAAGCAGTAGATACTTTTGTGCTTTGGCATTAAAACAAAACTGCGAGACAAAAGCTGAGCGTAATTTGATGATGACAGCTACGCTGGTTAATGGTGAGGGATGGGTTGGGATAGAATGGGCTGGAATGGCCTGGGCTGGGCTGGTTTTGGCCTGGGTGAGGGGGCGCGGCGCTGGGCAGAGGCGGGCACAAAGCGTAAAAATGCGAAATGAAAATGAAAATGGCAGCGCAGATGTGAAAATGAAAGCTAAACGAGGCGCGGGCCAACAAACAGCCAGAAATAAAATTGCTTTACAGCCATAATAGAATTATAGTGCCCACTATGAAGCGGCGACAGAGACGGACCGCAACACGCTCGCCGACGACACAACAGCAGCAGCAGCAGCAGTAGCAGCCAGTCAGCGAAAGGGCAGCGAGTGGGAGGGGGGCGTGCGCTGCTAAAAGCAAGTGAAATAAAACGCCAGCCAGCATGCCAAACGGCAAGGCAAGGCAAGGACACACTGATTTGCTGGCGGCAATGGCAATGGCAGCAACCGGAGCAACGCTTCATCCGCTTCGCGGTGGCCCACTTTAATGTGCTCATATCTGCGGGCTGAACGGGGTGATGGCGACAGAGACAGACAGTGATATATGTGGGCTGTGAGTGCGTGCTAGCGAGCAAAATGCTATTGCGATTTGTGGAACGTGACAGCATAGAAAAATCTGTAGGCGCCGTAAGGCAGGCAAAGGATTAGCCAACGACACACACACGCACACACACACGGTGTATGCGTAATGATGCTGCAAATGATCTATTACACAGACAGATAGAGATGGAGATAGAGAGAGCGAGCGATAGGGATGGAGATAGTATTTCGTAATTTAATGGAGAAAGACTCCAGTCGAAAAACTTTGACACTTGAGCACCAAAAGCTGCGATAATTATCTAAAGCAAAACTGTAACGACTCAGCCACTCCCTCTCCTGGCAGCCACGACAGTCTACAGTGCCCGAGTTGTAGTTATAGGGGGGCGGGGCAGGGGCTGTAGAGGCAACTAATTGCCCCTGGGACATGTCGCATTACTTTAAACGTCAATCTGCAGGGCGACTAATTAATGAGCGCTAATTTGAACTATGCCCCGAGCTGAGGTAATAACAGTTTACCAAGCTTGACGCTATCATAAAAAGTCTTTAGGACATTAAGTGCAGGCTGCTATAATGCACGGATTACGTAACGAAATCACAGAGGCAAAAATAGACAGATAACCAAGAGACTCTGCCACCGGGCACAGTAGCACCTGCAAATATGTTACTCCATTGGCTGTTGTTTGAGTGAGTTTACAGCTTGTCTGGCTGCAGCTGCTCAACTAATTGCCGAGTTGGCCAACTGTGAGTTGGCAGGAAAAGCACGAGTTGATTCATTCAGTTGATTTCTAATGCAATTCAGGTAGTTTAAAGTCAGGAATGAGCTGCATGCATACAATCTGCAGTTCTTGTTTATAAATGAAATCACTTCGCTAGCGCACTGAATCCCTTCTATTTTTTATACACCATAAAAACCAGCATCAAATTTAATGAAAAAAGTTCAACTACTCATATAAAGGTATATAAATAGCAGGCATTACCCATCTGGACTACTTGAAATAGTTTGGCTGTTAGTCAGGTAAACTAGCCGAAATAAACAAATTATTTAACAGATAACTGTTTTAATTTTATCAATTATATTCCAAAGCCATATAAAATTTGACTGTTTAGCTTTTGTACTTATATTAAATATATATCTAAGAAATTATAATAATCATATTTAAAGAAAAATTTCCCGCACTAACAGTTTAGTTTTCTATTAAAACTTCTTCAAATCAAATCATTACTACTTATAACTAATTATTTCATATACTCACTCATAATTAATAGTATTAGGTCTTGCACCACTTACATAATTGCCTTTTCATGCAGTGAAATTGTCATTCAGTGTTAAAGCCAAGGCAATTCGAGCTCATAACTTTAACGTGTTCATATCTAAACATAACAGTTTGAACACATGCCCGAGGCCCTGGGTCAAGCACTAAATTACATACTTGATATAGCAGCACTCAGGTGTATACACATATTGGTAAATTTATGCCGTCACATCGTAAATGATTGATGAACATAGTTACATAGTTTTAATATGCGTTTTATCATTGTTTGTCCTAAATGCGCTCAGGCTGCTCTCGGCTCCGTTTCGAAACAGCAAACCACATGAGCCGAAGTATAATAGTATGATTTTTGCTCTCTGTGCACGTCGATGCAAACAGAGTAAAACTTTCGGAAGCCTTACTTATGCCCTGTGCTATTGGCTTGGGATTCTCATTGTATATCTGTGACATAACTAAGCAACACAAAGCTTCAATTACAAGAGTAAATCCTGGTCAAGGCAATCAGCGTAACGGGCCAACTGGATTTGTTCGCCAATATTTACATAATAAAACTTGCATGACAGTTACTAGCCGAGGTACAAGTAACACCCACCCACCTGCCCTCTTTGGACCACAACTCATAACCATAGCCATAGTCATAGTCATAGTCGCATTTATCTCCATACCAATTTGCGCTTTGCATTTCTTTCCAGCGCTGTCACTGGCATATGCCAGGAATGTCATTCAGCAGCGGGAGACGAATCAGGGCACTCAGCGGAAGATAAGTGTGATAAGTGCTACATACAGAAAAACACACAGATAGAACACACAGGCAGAGGCGAAGGCAAAGAGAAACGTGTAAAAAATGCTATTGGCTTGGCTGACAGAAAATAAGGTAACCTACATTTACAACTCTATCAATCGATAACTTATCGATCATATTATATTTACACTCTCATATATTAATCTCTCTTAAATGTTACGTATGATGTTTCTATATATTATATAAGCTGTCAATTCAATATTATTCATAAGTTTGTAGAGCGAGAAAAGAAAAACAATAAATAAAACAATATATATCGATTTTAGAAAGGTTTTTAGTGTCTCTAGAAGCGCATAAAAACCAAACAGGCGATTTATATAGTATAAATATATAATATAAATACAAAAACCAAGACCAAGTTCGTTTTATGTATGTATATCCATAATCTTAATCATCATATGTTCCACAAACAGCATTCACAAACCACCATACCCCATACTTTCACATATTTTCAATCAACTACAGGGTATTGCTGTGCCCCAAAGGAATGTGAATAAATGCATAAAATATGGCAAATCAAGCGTCAAACTATTGCCATGAGTTTATAAGTTTATTTCTGCCAGTGTGCTGTCATATGGATACATTTTAAGCAGAGCTTAAGCAGGCTTTGACAAATTCCGAGGTCAGCCAGCAAACTCAGAGTGCTCATTCTCAACCTAACAGTAGGAAGGCAACTACACATTTTCCATTTTACAAAAATATAAAATAACATCTTACACTATATTATTTGTATTTGGAAGTAGGGAACAGACGCAAGGATTTCGAAAAATACAGCCAACGAAATCCTTCAAGAACATCTTAAGCAGCCGCAAAATTTATGATCCTGTCGAGCGGGTTAACTCAAGCCGCTACTAGAGATTAGGAGAGACAAGTGGACAGGGCACACAGCATAGCAGAAGATACAGGTAAGCAGCTGAACAGGTGAGCAAACATCCGTCTTACCATACCATGGCACACGTATAATTATTCAATTAAAATCGCGACGCACTCCAATCGAGTGCCACAAAGGCCTTACGCATTGTGTGCACACAGGCGAGATGCTGGGGAAAAGTGCCCAACTGGGATTAATTCCAGACAGACTACCTCTGCCGGCCAATAGCCTACATCCAGTCCGGACATGTATATACCTGTAGGTATATATGGGCACACAGGCATACACCTGCCCACAGCTGCAGGCGCCGTGTGAAACTCAATTCATTTTCGTCCTTTTGTTGTTTTCTGCTCGGCATTCGTATCTCTTTTATTGCCTCCTGTCGTGCCCTTTATCATACGCTTTCCTCGAATCCGAAGCGAGCAGACGGCCGTGCACGGGCAAGTTAAGGCAATCAAGATATGGCGCTGTAAGTGTATTTGCACAGCTAAAGAATACGTACGAGTCCGCGTGCTCTCGCGTGCAGCGCATTTTACGACTTTCCATAGACAGTTTAAGCAGATTTATAGCAATGAACCAATCGGAATACAATATAGTGGAGCTGCATGCCAGAACTCGCAGTTGTAGCTCATTAGAGCACTCTGGTTTATTGAGCAAAAGTATTCATTTATGATGCAAGTGCGGCGCAGGTAGATATAAATATCAGCTTGAATTGTATGCTGAATTGATTTTTTTTTTAATACAACCGAAATACCAAGGTAAATTAGTGTAAAGGTCATCTCAATTAGTATAAAGGGCAGCTGAGGCTTTATAGCTGCGCTTGCTTAGAGTTGAACCGAATTAATTCATAAGGAATTTAGCCTTAATTAAACATATATTCTGTGTACAAATTATTCCTTTTCATGCCTTATTATTTGCTAATTCGTTCTATCATAGATATTTAGTTGAATTTAATTTAATATACGTAGCTAATAAACCTTAAGCTTAGTTATGAGCTATGTTACGTAATTCAGTGCAAGCTCACATAATCTATTTAATGTTCGGCTGAATTGCTAATTGAAACCGAGCTTTATATACAAACTACGGCCCACAGATATAAATATATTTACTCGCTTCCCTTTTATGTTTTGCATTCTCTGAACTTGTTCAACAACAATAATCAACGATTCAAATTAATAATAAATCAACACAAAATAAAATGGCTATGGGTCAAACATTTATGTCTGTTGTTTATAGATGCACCATGATATATATTTGACATTTATTATTTATACAATCAGTTAAATATATATATATTTCAATATTTATACATGCCGTCAATTTAATAAAACCTGCCTAGAGGGTATTACATATTCGGCCAATCTAAACAAATAAGTGAAAAAAACAGCAACTCAACCCCGCCCCCTTCCTCTTTGTTGCGATTCTCTTTTTGTTTTGACCGGTACGCTTTTTGTGCCTTTGTGTGGTGCAAGATAAATAGTAACATGTTTGCTTTGCCTGTGCAAGAGGGGCGCTGGCTCGCTCCCATTCAGAGACCAGGCCCAAACTCCTATCTCAATGGCCATAAAGCCAACTGCTATCAGTGGCACATGCATCATGGGCTGGCCAGTTGAATAATTCAATGGACGGTGCCTGAATGGAGGCGGCGTCTGCGGCGATGATGGCTAATTTTCATGATTTCATTTACATGGAACGTTATTATGTGATTGCTTCAACTAATACCCTAACTGAATTCTCTTGTTCTCTATTCATTAGATTCGGACCTGGGGCGTTGTAGACTGGTTTTACACTATTTAAGATATTTTTAACTATACGTTTGCCATGGAGAAGAAGTTAAGGTAAGTTGATAGCTTTTCACACTTTCACATTTCATATTCCTTATGGCCCGCAGCAATCAAAAGACCAAAGCAAAAAGATCTCACTCCTTTCTATTCGGTCTCTCTCCCTCTCCCATCGCCTTGCTCCCTCACTTTCTTTTTCACTTGAGCCAACAATTTTCCATTGCAAATAAATTTAGATTTTTGCCTTGTATGACGGTCGTGGACTGACTGCTGCTGCTCTCTGGACGAGATGTGCTGCTGGCTGTGCGTGTTTTTGAAGTTTTGCAAATTGCCAAACGCACACACACACACACACACAGAAATATATATATGTATACATCTATGCATATATATGTGTATACGGACAATGATAGATTAGCAGTATATATAATGGTGTGTGTGTGTGTGTACCATCAGCTTTCGCCCTCTGTCTTTTCCTGGCAGTCACAGTCAGAAAACTTCAATTGGCAGTTCCAACAAATTTCTTGCAACAAAATTAAACTGTAATTGAAAAAGTCAATTAAAAAGTTTCGCATTTTGCCGCTCAATGAGCACCAGCAAGACAGACAGAGACGCTGATAGTTAACGAGCGCGTGTGGGAGGCAGACAGAGAGAGAGAGAGTGAGTGAAAGACCAGCCTGGACATTTCCACAACTCAGTTTTTACACTCTCCTTTTTATTTTGATTTTTACTGGCAAATTACCAATTAGCGTAAAGTTTCATGTCCATTAAATTGAACCGGTTTGAAAGTGATGTGAATTAATCATTGCCAAGTTATTCCTTACACAAATTATTGTAGTTTTATTACTTTATTGTTTTAGGATCATTTTGCAAGAAAATATTCGGACATAATTTTATGCAATATCTATACATATTTATTTTTATTCTCGTTTTTCTCTTCACACAGCTTACAGGACTATGAAAATTTTTACAAGAGTGCTCTATTGAGCCGGCAAAAAGTGCATCAGAACGTGCCAAAGACTTTGAATAGATTGAGTAAATTCCAGCAAATATGTCGCGTGTGTGGCTGCAGCGACGATGGAACCTTTGTGGACTTGGATAAATATCAGGAATTTGAGTTTGAGCCAACGATTAGCAGCTATCGGCAGCTCTTTCAGCGTGCCTCGTTGCAGTTTGTAAGTGATCAATATCATATCGTAAGATAAACGATCTCTGTATTATCTCATATTTAGCAATTCAGTACCATGCCCGATATGCCGGGGCGTATTTGCGGCATATGTTCCTACAAAGCGAAGATATTTTTTCTACTCACGCGCCAGTTTGTGATCGGTCAGCAGATAATGCGCACGGCTGTCACGGACTACTATCGGGATAACTATGCCATTGAGCCGCCCGAGCAGCTGGAAGATCTACTGCAGTTGCGTAAGCAATTGGAAAATGTTTCCAAAATCAAGCAAAAGTCAACGAAAGCAGCCAAATTAACTAGTGTCTACGGCCAAGTGAAGTCCAATGTTACCAGACGTAAGGCCAAACCGAATCGTTCATCTTCAAGCGATCACCGCTTCGATGTAAAACCTAAAGACTCCAGCGACTCAACCAATCACCGGGCGAACAAAGTCCCGAAAGGTCGCAAAAACACCATTAGCAATCAGACGTCACCACCGTCTAGAGTCAACAACGTACGTCAGCCGAACAGAGCTCCAAATCCTGTTAAGAATGTCAATAGCAAGTCAGGATTAGTCGCACAGCGAGCGCCGCCGTATGTCCGCAAGGAACGAACTGGAGCCAAGGCTAGTTCAAGCAATAAGGAAGTCGTGGAATGCCATGTTTCGCCTCGATTGATCAAGAAATGCACTAACTTCGCAGAACTGCTGCCAGTCAAATCTGTGATGCATCACAAAATCCAAATCAATCCAGCCGATGGATCGCCACACAAATCAAATATACCGCCATCCAAAGCCCAGTTGCAGAAGAAGCTATTGGAGAGGCGTAAACAATGGCGTTAACCAGACCTCCTCCATGCTTGTTTTTATAATCGATAGCAATTAGTTTTAAGTTAATAATTTTTTTATTTTTATATAAAAGAAAGTCATGGCAG